ATAAACAAAAGGTGAATCATATTTAGTGTATGGAATAATTGTGAGGTGTACATGTCTGTCTGGCAGGGTTCATATGACCTTGAACTCATTTTCATGTTCAATTGGTCAATGTTTATGTGATACCTGTAGTAAAATATTTATATCACAGACTTTCAACATAAAGTCAATGATAAGTAAACAGGCGAGACATTCCAGTATGTGCACTCTTGTTTAATTTCGGGGCGTGTTTTCAAATTGGTCCACATTAAAGTCCAAAGGGTCCAAAATTCAAGCTTGTTTGATTTTTAAAAAAATATTGGATTCAAGAGGTTCTCTGATATGCTGAATCTGAACATGTATTTAGATATTTGATTTTGGGCTCAGTTTTCAAGTTGGTCGAAATCAGGTTCCAAAATTAAACTTTGTCTGATTTCATCAAAAATTGAATATATGGGATTCTTTGATTTCCTGAATCTGACCATGTATTTTGATTTTGGATTTTCGGCCCTGTTTTCAAATTGGTCAAAATTGAGGTCCAAAAGGTACAAAATTAAGATTTGATTTAAAAAAAAAATGGATTTAAGGGTTTCATTGATATGCTGAATCTAAATATGTATTTAAATTTTTGAGTTTTCAAGTTGGTCTAAATCGGGGTCAAAAATTAAAGTTTGATTGATTTCAACAAAAACTGAATATATGGGGTTCCATGATGTGCTGAAACTTTTCATGTATTTAGATTTTGTATTTTAGGCCCTGTTATCAAATTGGTCCACATTGAGGTCCAAAGGGTCCAAAATTAAACATTGTTTGATTTCATCAAAAATTAGATTCTTTAGTTTCTTTGATATGCGTATTCTTACCATATAAATAGATTTTTTTTTATATTGGACCATTCTATGTAAATTTCCAATTTCAAATTTTTAAGTTCTTAGACCACATTCATTTTCTGTCAGAAACTATGCTATGTCAAATATATAGTCACAATCCAATTCAGAGCTGTATTGCACAATTAATAGAAATTATAAGTAGAGTCATAGTTGAAAAAAGATATAACATCAAATCTAATTTCAGAGAAGAAATTATTTATAAATATCGTTTAAAATTTACACTTCATTATAAGACATTTTGAATATAAGTAAAGGAAAGTTTTATAGATTTTTTAAAGACTTTGTATTCAGTCTTACATCTAGTTTCATATCTTTTCTCAATTATAAAATGGTTACGTAGATATGTAAATCTATCACCTAATGCTGATAAAGGGACCGATAGTATTACTTAACAAACAGGAGTTTGTTGATATGTAGAGATGATCATGTCTAGTTTCTGACATTACATTCCAGGACAGGAACAATGAAGTTAATTAAAATGTTGTTTATTTAAACATTTTTAAAACTAAATAACTAATCATGGGCATTAAATATCAAAATGAATGAAAGAAAGTTTGTGATGTATTAATTCCCTACACATTAGCTCATGTGTGTATTTGTTTTATAATTTGTTTAATTCTTTGTTTGTTATATTTCAAGGTATTTCATGAGTGCCCCAGGGAAATTTTTACAGCTAACTGTGTTACCCTCTTCAAAAAAAAATGTTATTACATGTATTATTTTTATTATTATTATTATTATTATTATTAAAAAAAAAAAAAAATTCTTTTTCTTTTTATAAAAACTACACGCAATTTGTATTACATATTTACATTTGTAATTAAGTAGATATTGACATTTATGAATATAACACACTTATAATATGTATAACAAATTTATTTGAACATTTTGCGTTTTCTAAGTGTAGTGGCTGATAAGCTGATTTTCAATCCATCATCATTTTGATGCGATTTCTTTTGGATAAATTTAGGACTGTATTAATGGGGAAAGATATTTTGGAAGTTTTATTTTTTATCTTTTTTTTGTAAATTGTATGAAGAACTTCGTGGAAGTTTGTTTGTCCTTGTGGTACAAAGGGTCCAACATCAAAAGTTGTTTTAGATTTTAGATTTTGGATATTGGACCATAATAAGTAAAAGTCCTATTTCAAATTTTTCAGTTCTTTGACCACATTTATTCTGTGTCAGAAACGTATGATGTGTCAAATACTTAATACCAATCCAAATTTAGAGCTGTATCAAGCTTGAATGTAATGTCCATATTTGCCCCAACTGTTCAGGGTTCGAATTATGCGGTCGTATAAAGCTGCGCCCCGCGGAGTATTTTATTGAATTTACCTTAGAGTTCGATTTTTTTTTTTTATAAATTCTTCTTTCAACATTTCATTAACTCTAACATGTCTTATATGCATTCAACTTTAAATGAAAAGCACGTGTTTCGAGAATGTGCAACACTATGTACTTGAATCAAAAAAGTGTAAAACTCTGATAATAATTGGAATACGTGCTGTAAGGTCAAACACACTAATCTCTATGTTCCAGCTTTGATTTACCCTTCCTCAACTCCACCGGGTTTTCAGATTAACATATTTTTGTCCTAACTATGCATGAAATATTTGGCACTTAGCGTTGCTACGTGTATTTTTACACCGTTATTGGCATCTCTATTATATCTGAAAAAGATGGTATCAGTGTTTCAATTAAAAATGGCGGGAGATACCAAAGGGACAACCAAAGAAAGAATAAATGAGGAATGTGTCCATGGGACACAGATGATGCCCCCGCTTGCATATAACGTTATAAAGGAACATAACCCAATAACAGTAAAAGTGACGCTACCCAAATTCGTATTTGATCTGAGTTTTGTGGTAATAAGCATTGTGTATAAGGTTCATAACATTAGATTAAGGCAAACTTAAGTTATAGAACGGAAACAAAAAATTCTGCATTTTTTTCTATTTGTAAAGGGGCATTACTCTAGAACAGTAAAAGTGACGCCACTCTAATTCATACTTGAGGTCACACCAATTTGATTTGAAGTTCTTCGGGCAAAAGCTCCAAAAATTATGAGGCGAGCGAGCGAAATGTTTTTGATTCTATTTGTTTCTTGAAAATGAGTTTTTTTTAGGCGAGTGCTCTACAATTGAAGCGAGCGGTATATTTCTATTTAAATTGTGCAATTTAGAGTTTATGTACATGTTATAACTGGGTTACTTCATAGTAAACGAGGAGAAACATGCTCTTATGCATATAATTTGATTTATTGGTGCCTGTTCCATACCAGACGTTTTGGTTTCACTGTAGTTTATTTAAATTTGATTATTTTCGTCAAATAGGCTTTGTCTGCGTGAATTTTCATTTGAATCTATACATATATATATATTAAGGAAGCATAGCAGATGCAGTTTTACAAGAGGAGTTATGTTAGGTAAGTGACATATGTTGAATACAATTAAAATATGTGTATGTATCCAAAAAAATGCCCCTGAAAGATATTAAATATTTTTTGATATAGTTGTTTTCATTATATGGTAATGATTGTTTATTGGCTGCTTGACATCCAGTTGGAACTATTTATCTATATTTAGGATCAACATAATGAGTGAGGTGAATATTTCTTGCTTTGTATTAAAACAACATCCTGAGTAAGATAGTTATATTGCTATGCATGTAGATCTCAATGTATTAAAATATTCCCTTAAAATACCTGTCACCACATTCACATGCATTATTCTGACTGAGCAAAATACTCTTTCCTTTTGCTCCTAAAAGCTGCAATGCATTTAAAACTTTTTAGCTTGGCTAGACGTGGTTGAACCAATTACACATCCCTTATTATTATGAGCATGCCAATCACAATATCACCACCTTGGTCTCGTACGTTGGAACACTTAAATTTCCTCTTATCAAAGAGTTCTGCTTGTATGCCAATAGACTAACAAGAGGATATGGGGTTCATCAAAAAAAGATAATTCTGTGATTTTTTTATGAAATTCATGCGAATTTACAATTAATTTTCATCCAAAAAAAATTAGGTCTATGCCTGTTGAAACAAGGATTGGGGATGACGATGGTTCTAACAAATATTGATGTGATTGTGGTCATCTAACGAAAGAACTTTTAATTTTTGCCTCCTAAAACAGGTCTTCAAAGGTAAAACAAGATGCATTGCGGATAACTGTGTGTTCAATAACTACTTGTCCACGGCAACGATTTTTGACCTTTTATTTCCAAATCGATTTATCACACGTGCGTTTGAATCGATCAAAACAATATATGCAATAGAAAAACGTCTATGTGAAAAAAAAATTCAAGGAGAAACTTATTTTGGAGCGGCATGTGGACCAAAAATTTGCGGAAGCGGTAATTAAATCTATTTCTCCAAAACCAGAGCGGTAAAATCCAAAGAACTAGGAATCAAATTGGTGTGGCGCCACCCAAATTCAAACTTGATTTGAGTTTTGTGGTAATATACATTGTGTATAAAATTCATAACATTAGATGAACTTCACTGGAAGCAAACATTTCATCATTGAGTTCAGCGTATTCAATCATCTTGAGATGCTGGGTAAATTTCAGTATCAGGAGTGTTTCAAGTAGTGTTCTGTATCAGTACCAAATTGTGAAACCTGTAGAGTTGACCTTTTCTTCGCATCTATACATCCCTAGCTTTCAAATGTTTGGCTTTAAGCGTTGCTGATGAAGGTCAATCTAGAAAAGCGCTTCATACGCACCAAATTTACAAAGTGTTATTTTCATATATATATATATAACAATGAAAAACGATCAGCGAGGAGTGCATCAATGAAACGGCAGCCTAAAAAAGTTTACCTGACCACTTACAAAAGAATACAGATAATTTTCAATGTCTATTTATAACTTGTTATAAGTAAACACATAAGCAACGTTGCTCGATATTTAAGATTTGACGCAATACCGGAACATTTCCAAAAAGGCATTTCAACTTCACTCGTCTGATTATGATATGTTGATACTTGTTAACGGAAATACCCCCAAAGTCTCTAGAAAAACCTGAGAATTAAAGTAGCATTACTGAAAGGTCGTCCAAAACTCCAAATACTATGGAAATGTACGACATTTCCATCGCAAAAATTAGAAATAGTAAACACTAAACGACAAAATAAGAAGTTATTATTAAAAAGGTATTAAAGTTATTTTTATTATTTGTAAAAAAAACCAATTGTTTTTATTTGATAGACAGACAAAAATTAACGTAGAATCGATTGAGGCACTTTCTGTTTTTAAAGACAATTATTATTTCACAAGATATTTCTGGGAAAAGGGTAACGTTTAACACATATGTTCATCCTTCTTTCAACACATGATTCATTGAAGATTGAATTAAAAAGGAAATTATAAATAGCAACCAATTGCTTTTTATATTTGTTAAAAATAAAGAGGGATTTGTTTTATCCCATTTCTTGTTTACTTTAAGAATCATTGAAAAAAAAAACCAGAATGAAAATATTACGTAACAATATCAGTTTAATTAGTAAGAATTCTGGTAAAGACGTTCTGCCCAATGTTGCTGTTCTCCCACATATCTATAAATTTCGTGTATCTAGTCAGTATCCAGAAGGTATATATTTTATCGGTGTCTTTATAATACGATCCTGTAAAGCTAGTTGCAGAATTTGAGTTACCATATGCTTCATTGTTCCACGCTACGACAAATCCTACGATACAATTCCTAGGCTCCGGATCAGGTATTGTAAATCTTCCCGATAATGGATAATAATTTGCAGCAGCACCTACGGCACTATTATACTTGCCAATGATTTCTCCTGTTGAATTCCGGTCCGGTGAATCGAGTTTGCATGTTATTTCCAATTTAGATCCAAGCTCATTCACCCATTTTCCAGTTAATCCGCAAGGATCGCATGTGTTCTTGTTATCCGCACTACATGTCTTTTCTGTAATATAAGAAAATAAACATTAACCTTCAGTATAATTATTCATTGAACTCGGTTTGAATATCGAGTATAACAATTCCTATGCATATGACACGTGTTTTGGACTAAAGTGCACCAGGAACGATAAAAATCAACAGGTTGGAAAGCTCGAAAAAGAAAGTGTCTTGATGCACCTAAACAGATAGCCAAAAGTTAAAGGTCAACTGTGAATGAGGATTATCTAAATATATATATCTATCCTGCTGAGCTGACTTTAGAACACTGCCCGTTCCTTGATCTTGATATCTACATCTTTAACGGGAAGCTTAATACCAAAATTAACGATTAAAGAGATGATTTTTCATTTCATATTGTTAATTATCCATTTTCAGATGGTGACGTTCCCTTGTCACCATCTTATGGTGTTTATATATCTCAACTTGTTCGATTCGCTCGTGTATGTATTAACGTATTTGATTTTAACGAAAGAAATCTCTGTATTACTGAAAAATTATTACAACAGAGTTTTCGATATCACAAATAAGTCAAAACATTTACTAAATTTTATTATCGGTACAAGGACACCATTCGTAAATATAAATCAACATGCAGACATCTTATACGTTCAGATATTTCACATCCAATCTTTTATGGTAATATTATATACAAAGTTCAAAAATGTCGTCATTCACCTTAAAAGCTAACCAAACCTTTAAACAGACTTATTCAGAAGGGATATAGTTACGATACTGTTGTCAGGTCATTAATTGATTGATTGTTGGTTGCTTAACGTCCAGTGGCAAATATTTCATGCATATTCAGGACGAGAACAAGTTCACAATAAATACAATAGGTAGGTTCTGTAATAGATTAAGGGATTATGGTCGGACAGAAATTTAGCCTTGCAACAGGTCACCTACGGACCCCTCAAAGAGTTGTTGCAAGGGTTCTTAACGTGCAAAGAGCGTGGCACTCTCTTTACACGAGGCATCGGATTTAACGTCCCCATTCTGACCGGACGTGGCTGCAAATTTGTACATCCCGCACAGCCAAACGGACGCCCCACTTTAGCACGGGTTTTACTGCCGGTCGGAGGAAGACCAATGGTGACCATACTTCTATTCCCCAGTCACCCTTGGGGGCGTCAGGTCATTAAAGATGGCATACTAGTAATATGGAATTAATATTGATTCACTCATAGGGTCTTTGAATCGGAAATAAACACATTTATTCTAAAATCCAATTGTTGGCATAGTACGGGTTATGTTCTTCTTATATATTTTATGATGGTATGATACCAAACCCCTAACGGGAGGGATTGTGCTTGATTTTCATATGATGAAGACATAATCTTTCAATCAGTTTAATTGAGGTCTGGAGCTGGCATGTCAATAACTGCTAGTAGCCTTTTGTTAATTTATGTATCATTGTCATTTTGCTTAGTTTCTTCTGTTACATGTACCTTTTCTAACATCGGACTCAGACTTCTTTTTAACTGAGTTTTAATGTGCGAATTGCTGTGTGTTTGTTTATTCTACATTAGCTAGAGGTAAAGGGGATGGTTCAGATCTCACAAAACATGTTTAACCCCGCCGCATTTTTGCGCATGTCCCAAGTCAGGAGCCTCTGGCGTTTGTTAGTCTTGTGTTTTTTTAATTTTTTAGTTCATTCATATGATTCGGAGTTATATGTGACGTCCATTATCACTAGTACACATTTTGTTTAGGGGCCAGCTGAAGCCCGCCTCCTGGTGCGGTATTTTCTCGCTGTGTTGAAGGCCCATTGGTGGCCTAGGGCTGTTTTCTGCTCTTTGGTCGGGTTGTTGTCTCTTTGACACATTCCCTATTTCCATTCTCAATTTTATATATACCAGTAAAAGAGAGGTGGACGATAAAAAAGGGATAATCAAATGCATAAGTCGGACACAAAACTAATAAAGCTATGGCAAAAAACGACAAACAACAAAAAGACAAATAGTCTACAAAACATTACATAGAAAATTAAAGACTGAGCAACGCGAAACCCAACAGAAACCGGGGATAATCTCAGGTGCTCAGGAAGGATAAGCATATCCTGCTCCACATGTAACACCCATCTTGCTACTCCTTTAAAGATTGGTTGATAAAGTTATAGCAAGTGATTAGGGAACATGAAAAAGCGGATACGTAATTGACTCTTTTCTAACCATAAGACATCACCAAATTTGTAAACTATCGGTCATGTAAATTGTCTAACCCTAAACGTGACTGATTGTGAAATATTGAAATTGAAACACAATTTATAATATAGACAAATCAATTAATATAGATCAAACAGCTACTAGGCAAACGCTGTTCGGGAAGTCATAATCTTCTTGATCAAGATATGGAATTGTAGCACCGGTAAACTTCTGTTGCTTTTATTCCCCCGGCACCTGTACCAATCAGGGAGTACTAAACTAAGGCAATAGCAGTTTACCAATGTTCAAATCGTATAAATATGTTTTAGGTATGGTTCCATAAAAATCACTATAATAGAAGTATTAAAACAACATACCTTCCTGTTTACCTAGTACATGGATAACAGCAATACCAACAAGGAACATTTTCACTGTGAACATTGTTTCGTTTTCTTACAACAATAACCACGTTGAAACTGTAACTATAGATTAGAAAATTTTAAAATGTTATTCAATATATGATTGTCGCTTTCTATGTTTATACTCGTCAATTATGAATCGAATCGTATTTGACTCCGCAGACGACTTTTTCATTACTTAACAAAATACAAATAAAAACTAAACTAAAACGAAAAATGCTCACTCGTTTTCTTTGCAAACACGTATAGCATATCCATTATATCTTAAGGAAATAACAAATATCTTAAACAATATTTTTATCAGTATATTTATAAGACTTAAATTATGTATTTATTTATCATGCTGTTAATATTAAATTTATATATGAGCAAAAAATTCAAACCTTTAGCAATAACAGCAACGAAAAGTATCCTGACTTGAATTAGGACGGAACATTTAATAGTCGTAAAGTTACATCAATTTGCCAAAAATAGAATCCTCAACCTTTTATGATGAATCAATGAAATAACAAAAAATACAGAGAAAACGCAAAGTAAATAAATTCATAAAAAGTACAACAGCATGACACCTCAAAAATCGAAACGGCGCCAACGAGGAAAAATGTAGTGAAACGTAATAGGTTTAATCAAGAAGTTTGAAAGTTTTATGGACGGCATTATGAGTCAGTTGACCATTTTCAATATATGTGTCACAGATGACCTAGGAAACGTTCCTCCTGAAATAACCGCAACATGTCCTCTTTTCCTCGATTGTGACCTTACCACCTAAAAGATGGAAATACAAGTTTCGTAAATATAGAAACTGCCAGTAATGTCTTAAAAAAAAATAAGTTATATATATCAGATTTATCAAATACCTTTAATTTCAGTTGCATTCAGGACTGAATCAATTTGATTATAGAAAATGTTGTTTTTCTTGAATCTATCAAAATGTATACAATTCTGATCGTTGTAACTGAGAATTGACAATACCAATAAACAATTTAAAAAAAGCATTCCTTTATACTATATTTATTTTTAAATAGTAAGATTTAAGGATAACTTACCTATAATGTCTACGTTGAAAGCCGAAAACAAAACTTTTGTCAAATATCCAAATGGAGTTGGTTTTTATACAATTTCAATTCACTGTGGTCACATGAAGGAGTGGCCTATATTACTTTTAAAACCTTAAAAATAGAGCAAAGTCAGCGAAAAATACAATATACATTTTAACTACGTATACGCATACGGAAGTACGTGGGAACGTCTCGTCATCTTTAAAAGTGCTTTAAATAAATTGTGTTCATGTAGGGGTTGAAATAGTACATGTCTAGGTAAGTCGCCTTGTCCACGTATATATATGCGTTTTAATTAAAAAAATATATAACGTTCAGCAAAAAGTAGTTTAACTGTCGTTCTCTCTCCCCTCCCCAAGTCGTGAGCTGAATACTGCAAGACATAAACAATTGAGATTTGAAATAAAATATAACTTTTTCATGAGACTTTTCTTTATATTTGCCTGTCGTTGTGATCCATAGCTAAAACGCAATGTCTTCAATGAATGCTTATGTTCTTGACCAAGTGCTTTTTTAAAGGCCCTTCATAAAATTTGGCACATGTTACTATATAGGACGTATGTTAGGAAAACCTAAACCCTTTACAAACCCGTACAATAGTGAAACGGTCATGCAAACATCAGACGAAACCTTTGTATTGTCCCCTACGCTTATAGTTGGTAGTCGAATATTGCAAAGACCAAAAAAAAAAAAAAAAAAAAAAAAAAAGAGAAAAAAGAAAACAACCAAAACATGTACAAATGAGATGGAAAGTAAAATAAGTAGTATACGTTCTGTTGAAATATTCAAAACACAATAAATGTCGTCCTGGATGTATGACCTCAGAGGTTTTGTCCTAATATCAAATAAGCAATTTAAAGTATAGAGTGGGGAAAAAAAACGAAAAAAAGTGCAACCCTCCATTACTCTTAACGTAATATTCTGTCTTATATTTTTTGAAAAAAAAACAACTATCGACGATTCTAGGATTATAGTTTTGTACGCCAAACGCGCGTTTTGTCTACAAAAGACATGTCAATGGAGCACGAATCAAAAAGTGAAATGGCCAATTAAAGTACAAAGTTTAAGAGCATTGAAATGTGTAATCATCAATTCAAATAAAAACAGGTAATTTAGTGTACATTCATAAGAACCCCAAAAAATTTTCACTCAGGATTCCATTATTTTCCATCATGAATTTTGTGCTTTCATCCTTACGATCATTCTCATATGAGGAGAAAAAAAAAGATGTGTTGTGTTACAATCTGAATAAACAATACTCAATGATAAAATATAGAACAACGATTATTTTCACATGAATAGCAATTGGTCACCTCAAATAATTCTCCAACTGACTTCAAAAAAGAGTTTTTTCCCCCGAATAATGGCAAGTCCTTTAAAGTTTACTCCTATAAGTACCAAAAACGAAAAGGAATGCAGTTGTATGGGAATTATACCGTTTCAAAATGTTTGTAGTTCGAGCAAGTTTGTTGAATTTGAAGGAAGACTTTTTTAACAAATTGTCGTCATTCCTAAGGAAACGAACTGTGCGCCTCTCCTTTCCGACATCTTCTTATTTTTATATGAGTCGATCGGAGTTCCTTCAGACAAGAAGATCAAAGAAGCCAGATCATTTAATTTCACATTCAGATATATTGATGATGTTCTTTTCATTAACAATCCAACTAACAATTTTTCGGATTGGGTTCAATTAATATATCCCCCAGAGCTAGAAATTAAAGAAACAACAGACATTGCTTCCACTGCTTTCTTTTCAGACTTATACCTCGAATATGACATAAGCAGTCATATCAATACAAGACCAGAATCTATGATAAACGAGACGATTTTATAAATTTCCTCCTCCTTAGCAGCAACATAACAATTTCATCTGCATATGGGATACACATTTCGGTATTTAAGAGCTTGCAGCTGCTACTCAGACTTTATAAAACGTTACCAGTGTCTGAGCAGAAAGTTGATGAATGTCAATGAACGTCTTGTCCTTTTTCTTAAACAAGTTCATCAGAAGATACAGAGACCTTGTTGATAAATATTCCGAATCAACTTCACAAATAATACATGATGGATATATGAAGATGTGGTATGAGTGCCACTGAGACAACTCTCCATCCAAGTCAAAATTTATAAAAGTAAACCAATATAGGTCAAAGTACGGTTTTCAACACGGAGCCTTGGATCACACCGAACAGCAAGCTATAAAGGGTCCCAAAAATTACTAGTGTAAAACCATTCAAACGGAAAAACCAACGGTCTATTCTATATAAAAAACGAGAAACGAGAAACACTGATGAACCACATCAACAAACGACAACTACTGAACATTAGATTCCTAATGGTCTTGAGGTATAGATTCCAGGTACTGACGTTGTTTATCATCTTAATTACGTGTTATGGTATTCTTTTTTTTGTCTTTGTTTATTTTCAAACTTTACTGTTTAGTCCATTTTTGGTAATATACTTTTGGCGTGGCTCGGTATTTATACATCCAGACATTGTGTTATTGTGTTATGGACATGTTTTTGTATTCTTGTCTTTCATTTTTGCTTATGTACTTTGTCTATAAGGTGTCTATAAGCTATTTTTCTTTTCTTTGTTAAAATAGTTATTTGTTTTTATAGTGATTAAAATTATATAATAATGTTGACTGCTGTACCCTATTTTTTGACATTTTTACCTATAATGTCTGTTTGTTTTGCTCACACATTTTTGCCAATATAATGGAATTCTATGCGACTGTCATACAAGTGAAAGGTTTAGCTAGCTATAAAACCAGGTTTAATCCGTCATTTTCTACTTAAAGAAATGCCTGTACCAAGTCAGGAATATGACAATTGTTTTCCATTTGTTTGATGTGTTCGAGCTTTTAATTTTGCCTTTTGATAAAGAACTTTCCGTTTTGAATTTTGAGTTCGGTATTTTTGTTATTTTACTTTTTATCTTTATATTTCAGGGGAATTTTTAATCACTTTGATTATACATGTTATAGCAACTTTTGATATAATGCTTTCATTGACAGAGTTTTTCTTTAATCTATTAAAATTTTGACAATTCTGATCGTGTAGCTAAGAAATGAAAATATTAACAAACAATTTATCAAAAGCAATCCTTTTATACATTATAATATGTATATTATATTATACATCATGCAAAGCTCTGACTCCCGGTTTTGACTATACTTTTTTTTTACCTTTTGGATTATCGCTTTTCATTCTTTTAATAAGCTTTGAATTTTCAACTATTTTGGCCTCGAGCATCACTGAAGAGACATTTATTGTCGAAATGCGTATCTGGTGCAGAAAAATTGGTATCGTTAATGTTATTATCTATTCTTCTATAAAGATGTGAAGATAAGTGTCCCTATGATGAATACTTTGAAAGCAGATAAAAAAAAACTTCTAAATTATCCAAATGGATCCGGTTTTTATACCATTTCAATTTACTGCGATCACATGAAGAAGTGGCCTACATAAGTTTTTAAAACCGTTAAAAATAGAGCAAAGTCAGCTAAAATATACAAAAGACACTTAAAATCTGCACGATGATACGCCGGAAAGTCTCGCCATCCTATTAAAGTACTTACAATGAAATGTGTTCATGTAGGCGTTTCAAAAGTACGTGTCTAGGTCAGACGTTTATAGATCCGTTTTATTAACAAAATACATAACATATCGGATAAAAAAGTAACTGTCATTTCCCCCCTTCAGTCTTTGCTAAATACTGCAAAGGCTTATACAGTATGATGTATACAATTTAGATTTAAAGTAAAATATTAATTAGTCAAATCAGTTTCTTTGTATTTGCCTGTCGTTATCCCTAGTTAAAACAGAAAATGATTCAAAACTAAACTATCTTTAAAATGCTATTTCGTTTTCTTCAAACATTTAACTTTTAAAGGCCGTCCAACATAATGTGTTGCATGAATACTCATGAAGTCTGATTGGAAAATATAAACGGTTTGTGAAAAATACGTAAAATAGTGAAACGGTCATACAATTTCACAAGAAACCATAGTAAAACCCTTTCCCCTATAGTACATAGTCGAATATTGAAAGACCTAAAACAGTCAAATCATGTACAAATGATATGAATGGTAAAAATAATAAAATATACATTCTGTTGACTTATGACACAATAAATGTCGTCTTGAATGTCTAACCTAAAAAATGCCGTCCTAATATCAAACAAACAATTGAAAAAAAAGGGCAAAAAAAAGGAAAAAAAAAAAAAAAAAAACACAAAAGGAATAAAACTCTTTATTACCTTTAACTAAATGTTGCTTCGTTTTGTTTTGATAAAAAAAAAACAACAACAAACTATCAAACATTCTATGCTAATTATATTGCATGCCAGACTAGCGTTTTGTCCACAAAAGACTCATCAGCGAAGAAACGAAAACAGCACTTGATAATTTTCAAACAAATGCGTCCAAAGCATTTTTTTTTAATTAACCTTCAACAGGAACACTCAAAACCAAATATTTGAAAGCCAAGTATGTATAGTGACTGGAACAGTTAAAGAGCTATTTGACCAAAGACACCAAAAATAATAGACACAATCATTTCAGGTTAATTTTGCCTCACGAAGTTAGTTTCTCAGTAATATCTAATTTAAAAAAAACCGGTCAATTTAAGAAAAGATTGTTATAAATCATTTCAGTACCGACGTACTGACTACTGAGATAACTACTGGGGACTAAAAGTCCACTAGCAGCGGTATCGACTCAGTGGTGTTAATAATGAAAACAGCGTTTGATAAATTGCATGCGTCCGACAAGTTTTTCTGTATATACTTTCATCCAGATCTGGAACGCACAAAGCCGAATATTTGAAAACCTAGGATGAATAGGAAACATAACAGTTGAAGAGCTATTTGAAAAAAAAAAAAAATCAAAAATAATAGCCAAATTAATCTAAAGTCAACTTTGCCTGAAGGTTTGAAGTTTCGTAGTATTTCTAAATTCAAAAACGATGGTCGAATCAAAAAGTTAAAATGCCAAATGAAGTACAAAGTTGAAGAGTGTTGAAATATGCAATTGGCAATTTGAATAGAAATAGGTAAATTTATATATATTCATTAAAACCAAATAATTGGTAACTCGGTATTCTTTATTTTGGCGGTACTTGCATGCAAGCAATATTTTTCACAAACAAATGTTTTTCAAAATA